AAAAATCGCCGACATCGACACGCTCTGCGCTGCTGTACCCGACGACGTGGCGAGCATAATTCGGAGGTACCCCGAAATATTCGTAGATGACCTACCTGATGGGCTGCCACCTCAGCGTCCGGAAGACCACAGGATTGAGCTGGAACCAGGCGCGAAACCAACCGTTCGGTCCCAATGGCGGCTCAGCCAACCGGAGCTCGACGAATTGCAGAAACAGCTGGATTATCTGCTTTCTAAGGGTTTTATCCGGCCGAGCACGTCGCCGTACGCCGCCCCGATACTATTCACACCGAAGAAGGACGGAGGCCTGCGCATGTGCATCGACTATCGAGCGTTGAATCGGGTCACAATCAAGTCGCGTTACCCGATCCCACGAGCAGACGACCTGCTGGATCAACTTCGCGGGGCTCGTTTCTTCTCGAAAATCGATTTGCGAGGTGGCTACCATCAAATTCGTGTGTTCGCCGACGACTGCCCGAAGACCGCATTCCGCACCCGCTACGGCAGTTATGAGTACACCGTGATGCCGTTCGGGCTGACGAACGCACCCTCGACTTTCCAGCTCACTATGAATGGAGTGTTTCGGGACATGTTGGATAAAAAAGTTGTTGTTTACCTGGACGACATCCTGGTGTACAGCAAGACTCGGGAGCAGCATTTACAGGACTTCGACGAAGTGTTCCGACGCTTGCAGCAGAACCGGCTGATTACGAAGGGCTCTAAGTGCGAGTTCTTACGGTCGGAGCTGGAGTTTCTGGGGCACGTTGTCTCTGGGGAAGGCATTAAAATCGACCCTCAAAAAGTAAAAGCGATTTTGGAGTGGAAGACGCCCACGAACATCACTGAGTTGCAGAGTTTCCTCGGCTTCGTTAACTACGTCCGCCGTTTTGTACCCAATATGGCGGGGGTAACCAGGCCGTTAACCGATCTCCTGCATAAGGGCGTGCAGTTTTTTTGGGGGGAGAGAGAACAGCTGGCTTTCAACGAGCTGAAGAAAATTTTGAGTTCACCCCCGGTGCTTCGACTGGCAGATCCATCTCGACCGTTCGAAGTCGTGACGGACGCCAGCGATTTCGCTGTCGGCGCTGTGCTATTACAGGACTTCGGCAACGGACTGCAACCCATCGCGTACGAGTCAAGAAAAATGCAGCCGCCCGAGCGCAACTACCCGGTTCACGACAAGGAAATGCTCGCCATCGTGCATGCGTTTCGAACATGGCGATGCTACCTCACGGGAGCGGATGTCACAATCAAACTGACCACAAGTCACTACAGTACATGCGCAGCCAACCACAGCTCAACCCACGACAAATCCGGTGGCTCGACTACCTCGAATCAAATTTCCGCTACACCATCACATATAAAAAGGGCGCCAACAACATCGCCGACGCTCTGACCCGCCCATCCATGCACTCCGCAGCAGTACTAATCGCCCATTCCAACCCTTTATTGGCAGGATTATTCAAGCACGGCTACATGTCAGAATATTATTCTTATGTTCTAGCCTGTAGTGGGGTGCTCTATAGCGAGTACAACCCTTCTAGGGTTTGCTATTTGTATCCCCATTTCTGCTAGTTCATTCCTCTTTCTTCCTTCAAACTTTGTCATGCTATCAGAGCAGGTCGATCCCCTTGGATCGATCCTGTGGGTGGGTTACCACCTCGCTTCCGCTGCTACTTTTTCCTCCCGCCGTGCGCCCCGAGGCGCGCGGCGGTTCTTTGCCCGCTGTGCGCCCCGAGGCGCGCGGCGGGCTTCTGCCCTACGTCGCGGCCCCGCCCTGCGTCGCGGCCCAGCCCCTCGAAGCGGCCCCGACCGTCGCGGCCCCGCCCCTCGACGCGGCCCCGCCCTACGTCGCGGCCCCGCCCTGCGTCGCGGCCCCGCCCCTCGAAGCGGCCCCGCCCTATGTCACGGCCCCGCCCCGACCGTCGCGGCCCCGCCCCTCGACGCGGACCCGCCCTACGTCGCGGCCCCGCCCTGCGTCGCGGCCCCGCCCCTCGAAGCGGCCCCGCTCTACGTCGCGGCCCCGCCCCTCGTCGCGGCCCCGCCCCGACCGTCGCGGTCCCGCCCCTTGTCGCGGCCCCGCCCTCCAACCAGGCCCGTGGTGGGCCCCTTTCACCACACCGCCCCCCCCCCCTTCCCCTGCCATTTCCCGTCGTCCGTCGAGGCGACCTGAGGGGGCCGCTTGGTGGCGGGTATGGGGGTGGCCGGTGTGCCTTCCTCCCTTGCTCCTCCTCCTCCTTCGTCTCCCACTGCTGCAGCTGTCGCTGAGGGGGGTGGTTGTGTGGGAGACTGGGGTTTAGGGTTTAAGGGGGGTGCGTGGGAGTAGAGCTAGCGGTGTAGCAGTAGGTGTGTATCAGGGGGGTGGGACTGTTTGCGGGAGGTTGAGCGGAGGCTGCCGGCTTGTCGTCCGCAGCACCTGTAGTCCGGGGCGCTGTCCCGGTAGCCCGGTCGTAGCCAGCTGTGCCAGCCGCCCGTGGGTCCGTTGCCCGTCCGCCGCTATTTGAGCCGCGGGGCCTGTTACTCCTGTAGTCCGGGCGCTGTCCGGTAGCCGCTGTGCCAGTCTGCCTCCTGTTGCCCGTGTGTCTGCAGCTTCAGCCGTCGCCTCCTGTCTCCTCTCCCCTCACTCTCCCTCCTCCTCCTCACTTGCCCGTTGTGACTACCACTAGCTTTGCTTATAATTGTGAACTCTAAACTATTTCTTCTTGAACTTGTGCTCAGAATGTGTGGTGACATTGTGATCCACCCTGAGCTTGTTTTGCTTTGCCTGCTCTGCTGATTACACCCCACTTTGGCTATGGGGGTGTGTCAGAATATTATTCTTATGTTCTAGCCTAAAGTGGGGTGCTCTATAGCGAGTACAACCCTTCTAGGGTTTGCTATTTGTATCCCCATTTCTGCTAGTTCATTCCTCTTTCTTCCTTCAAACTTTGTCACTACAGGATCGACAGATTTTTCAGGACCAATCAACACCGCGGGGTCACTACACCGCATGGAAGTTACTACCTAAAAGTCGGTACTAACCGAGTTTGGGTACCTTCCTACCGACCCTTACGCGAATTACTGACGCAAGAAGTACACGACTCCAACCTCTCCGGGCATTTCGGCGTCGACAAAACATGAAGCTGCTGCAGCGGAACTACTACTGGCCCGACATGGCGTCGGACGTGCAGCGCTATGTGTCCGCCTGCCCGACCTGCCAGGCAATGAAGTCATCACGACAACGACCAGCTGGCTTACTGCAGCCCCTCGAGCCACCCGAACGACCGTGGCAACAGGTGACTATGGATTTCGTCACGGGCCTTCCAGCTGGCGCAAGTGGCAACGACTCCGTGCTCGTCGTCGTTGATCGCTTAACGAAAATGGCGCATTTCGCGCCCTGCCGTACAACGATCACAGCCGAAGAAACAGCGCGACTCTTCATCTCGACCGTCGTACGCCTCCACGGGTTACCTATCCGAAATTCACGTCGAAATTCTGGCAGGAGACATGGGCACAGTACGGCACCCGCCTGCAATTTTCGTCGTCCTACCACCCGCAAACCGACGGACAGACGGAGAGGACAAACCAAACGATGGAGCAGCTGATTCGCACGAACTGCCCGGACATCACCAAGTGGGAAGATTACCTTCCCATGCTCGAGTTTGCGTACAATAACGCCCCATCTGCAACGACCAAGCAATCACCCTTCTACCTGAATTACGGGATAGGCCCGGTGGTACCCTCATCGACAACTCCCGACAACCCGGTACCCAGGTCACAGCAGTTTATTTCGGAACTCCAGGACGCGCGTGCCAAAGCAGCTGACTTTATCCGAAAATCGAATTCGACCGCCAGCCGCTACGCTGACCAACACCGACGAAATTTACCCTTCCGCGAGGGGCAGATGGTTCTCCTGGACACCAAAAACCTCAGTCTGCCCCAACCCGCAAAACTGCGTCCTCGATACGTGGGACCTTTCCGCATCATTCGAATGCTGACACCGGTCACTGCGAAACTTCTCCTCCCGGACGACTGGCATATCCACGACGCCTTCCACGTCAGTTTACTTCGCCACTACGTGGCACCCCAGTCCTCCGACGTCGCTCGACCCCACCAGGCGCCAAGTGTCCGACCGATAGCAGATCCCACGCTCCAACCCTGGAAGATATTGAATCATTGCATTCGTGCGACCCCAGCCGGCCGCCACGTCGATTTTCTACTGCGATGGGTGGATCGCACAAGTGACGACGACACGTGGGTCCCGGCTGACTCACTACAAGGGCACTCGGTACTCCGGCAGTATCTTTCTCGCCGACACGTGCCTGATATTGACCACCTTTCTTGAAGGGGGGGGTAGTGTAAGGAATTTTGCTAATTCCTTACTGAGGCACCGCTTACGCGTACATTTCCAACTTTTCGGAGTTCAGGCTCGGTCCGACGACCTCGCCTCCCGAACGTCCTCCGCGTCGCCTTCGGGTTTTCCAAACCCAAACCTACACCCAACCCTCGCACGACTTCGCGACCTCGGGCTTAGCTAGCCTTGCTATATTATGCCTAGGCCCCGATGTTTGCTCAGTAGTTGTAATCACTTCCGCGATATTGCATTATGCGCACTCTTCTTTCATACAACTCATAACATAGGGGCTTTGATTACACAAAACAGTTACCATGTGGAGAAACCAGCCAAAATTGATGTGCCAAATAAGTCGCAAATAACTGGTAAAAAAACAAAAAAACAAAAACAAAAACAAAAAAACAAACACCTTGATTTGTGAAGACAGTAGTTCTTCAAACCCCAGAACCCTACATGTGCAAGCTAAACGCCTGAAATATCTGAAGTTGATTGATTAATCACAAAACAGTTTCCATGTGGAGAAACCAGCCTAAATTGATGTGCCAAATAAGTCGCAAATAACTGGTAAAAAAAAACACCTTTATTTGTGAAGACGGTAGTTCTTCACACCCCAGAACCCTACATGTGCAAGCTAAACGCCTGAAATATCTGAAGTTGATTGATTAATCTACTTTCCAAATAACCACTTTCTCTTGTATTGTCCGCCGGCTTTTGTGTTGATCATGACCAAAACCTGATGGATACAGAGAGGGAATGCACATGGAGGGGTGCAAACGCAGATAACAAACATGAGAACGTAAAGACCTGGAAAATAAACACGCAGTGAAACCAGCATAAATACATTGTACTGTAGCACACTTTGCTTGCATGTATGTGCTTGTCCAAAGAGGAGACAGGGAATGGCAAAATGAGAGCAGCAAGCGGTCAGAAGAGTAAAAGAAGGGGTTGTATGGCATGGGTCAGGAAAGCTCTCCACCCTCATCAGACCTCATGCCCATCACCATCACCATCACCATCACCATCACCATCACCATCACCATGACCATCATCACCATAACTACACAATCTTACCTTCTCTTATTTTTATCTGTCAGAATGAGGATGTGTACGACATTACCCTCTTTCAAATAATAATGAACTAATTTTTGCAGCCAGCAAGCGCCTGAAAGGAAGGGGAGCAATCCTCCGGACCTCCTCCAACCTAGCAGCACAGCACATGCTGACCACCCTGCGGTAAGCTGGGGATCTCACCCTGCAGCCAGCAAGCCCCTGAGAGGAATGCAGCGATTCCTCCCGCTTGTCAAATCTCCGCACCCCTTCCAACCCAGCATCACCCTGCTGATCTCGCATAAAGAACATGAGCAGGAAACCTCACCTTGCAGCCAGCAAGCTCCTGAGAGGAGGGCAGCGACTCTTCCCGCACGCCAATCCACTTGTCAACCCTCCGCACCCCTCCCAACCCCTCCACAGCCGCGCCCACGCACGCCTTCCCTCCCCTCCAAAACACCGCGTTCAGAAAATCGATAAGCAGCAGCCGGCGTACAGTAATGTTTGTTACAGGCTTGATGCTTATATCAAAGAAGCATGAGGAGGGGCTCCAAGAGAGTGTGACTATAGCAGAGAGGAGCAAACCAATGAGACAGGAGGAGGGGTCGGATTGGAATGCGTCCTCAGTTGGAGGTGTAGATGTTGTGGTGCTTGTAGCGTGCGATATGCCCTTGCTTATAAGGCGTACAAGGGAATTGGAACGAGAGGGAGGGACAATCTGAGAGTGGGGGGTAGAAAAAGGAGAAGCAACACATATGGGAGGGAAGTTACACTTCTGGTTAATGTTAATGCCCTTACAGGAGGGAGACACAACCAGGAGCAGAGGAAGGTAGAAAAAAAAAGTACTCGCAGGTCCGAAGGCATATATTTGTGATCTTAATCATTTATGTATCTTCTGCTAAATCGAATCTGCACTTCATATAACTATTGAGAAGTCGAGCACGAGGGCAATAGCATGTGGGCTGATTGCAGAAGGGAAAGAATGCTGGCAGGATGGAGAGGTGGTGCACTTACAAAGACAAGAGATGCGATTGTGTGATGTTTTGATTTTTCAGTTTTCATCACTAAAATGTCCTATTGGCACCTCTTTCACACGTTGTACACGTTATGAACCCTAGTCTCAGGCATCCTCGTTAGAGGCAATTCTCACCTGTTCCAGCAGCACTGTACACTTCTCGTGCACACCAGCCAGAATATCCGCCCTTGAAACCCGTCCCGTTTTAAGCAGCATCTCTAGCTGTTTTATAGCCTTCTCACACTGTTCCCCACTCCCTCCGCTAAAACCACTTCCACTGCTGCTGCTGCCACTGACAGTTACGGTGCCACGTGTCAGCCCCTGAATGGCTGATCTGACAGCCATAAGACCAGTAGGAGCAGCATCAGGGTAAACAGCAACCATGGGAATACCCCTCCCATGTCCCCCTACTGCCGCTCCCCACACTCCCACTCCCCCTCCCCCCATTCCCCCTGCGCCCATCCCCCCTGCCCCCATTCCCCCTCCCGCTCCCCCTCCCCCTGACCTTCTGAACGGCAGGGGGGCAGCGGGCATGGCGCCAGGCATGGGGGGAACGAGCTGGATGGGGGGAGGGGCGGAGGGGGCAAGGGCTAGGGCTAGGCGGCTGGGAGGGTATTCCTCTGCTTGCGGTGCTGCTGCTGCTGCTGTCACTGATGGCGGTGGTGGGATGTACGATACAAGGGCCTGTAGAAAAGGCATTGGGTGGGGAAAAGAGAAGGGATGGGGAGAAAGGGTAGTTGTTTCAGAAAAAAAAAATCATCCGCTGCTGCTGCTGCTGCCACTGATGGTGGTGGTGGAATGTAGGATACGAGGGCCTGTACAGTAGGCATTATGTGGGAAGAAGAGAAGGGATACAGGGACGGGGAAGTGGTTGTGTTTTAGAAAAATACCAAGAGGAGTTTGTAAAATTGTTATTCTTGGGTGGTAGGTAATAAATGAGATTTTATTGTAGGAATACACATTCTATCCAAAAGTAATGGTAGGAGTAATCTACCTTCCCTTACGTTAAATACGTGTAGTGAGATTTCCTTTGATCTTCAAACGGCCTTGAATGTGTCATATCAGATTCAGAGGTAGAATAAAACAGCTCACCTGACTGTAGTGAGACACGTTCGGCCTTTCAAACGGATTAGCAGGCATCGCTTTCATTGGCCCCACTCCCCCATTCCCGCCCATTCCGCCCGCCCTTCCTCCGCCCGCTCCCCCGCTCCGCGCGCCCTCTACTCCACCCACGCTCCCCGCAACAGATGCCGCGGGCACAAGAGAAATGCTCGAAGCGGATTGGACAACAGGAAGCGGCATGGACCCGACGCGGCTGACCTGCGGCCCCACCACTTGCACCGCACCAAATGGCGCCGGTTGCGGCGCCGGCTGTGGCGCCGGTTGCGGCGAGAAGTGCGGAGCGGCAAACGCGGCTTTGTACAAGTTTGGAACCCTCGGTTCTGGCCGAACGGACGGCTGCAATGAGCTGGTGAGGATGTATGGTCGCGATGAGGGCTGCTGCGAGAAGGAACTAGAGCGAGTGTCCCCGCTAAACGCGCTAGTCGCCGCGCTATTGACGGGCTGGGAAGACGCGTGGAGCGACTGCGATCGCTGGACGCGCGGAGCGACATCTCGAGAAATGTGTGCGGCTGAGGCGGAGGCGGAGGCTGAGGCGGAGACGGAAGCAGAGGCGGAAATCGGGGGGGGATTGACCCGCTGCTGCGCTTGGGCGCGTGCATCTGCAGTTGCGATCTCCTCTTGATCGACGGTCAGGATCTCATGCGGAGGCGGCGCGGGTATCACATCTTTGGGGACATCTAATGGGGCCGGCGGCGCGCGGTAGCAGGAGCTTACCGCCGAGCTCACCACCGGGTTCTTAACTACGTCCTTAGAGACATCGACAGTGGGAGGCGGTTTTTGAGTCGACTCAAAATTCGGCGGCGCGCGGTAGCAGGAGCTTACCGCCGGGTGGAAAGCGGCTGGCGGTACGAGCGGGTTCTTAATTACGTCCTTAGAGACGTCGAGCGTGGAAGGCGGCGGGCGGTACGCGGCACGAGACGCGGACGCTTGTAGATGATTGGCTGCCGCCACATGCGGAACCGCGTTTTCAGGAACGCTGGAAGAGTGAGGAGGAGCAGGAGCAGCTAAAGGAGCGGAAGGAGTTGAAGCAGCGGGAGGAGCAGGAATAGCCGCAACAGGGATAACACGAGCAGCAGTGGCAGTAACGGGAGGGGCACGTGTGGCGCCAGGACCAGTGCCAGCATTAGCAGTAGCAGTAGGAGCGGAAGGAGCAGGAAGAGCTGCAACAGGAGCAGGACGAGCAGCAGTAGCGGTAACGGTAGGAAGAGCGCCGGTAAGCGCGCTAGCGCCTGCGCCAAGCGCGCCGGGCGCGCGAAGGCCGTAAGTGAGCGCGATGCCGTTGGGCGCGTTGCGCAGCGCATCGCGCTCCTGCGCAAGCTCTTGCACCTGATTGGTCAGCTGTACCACGTGGTTGATCAGCTCCGCGCGCGTCAACGAGTCGCCGCGACCCGCTTCGAGCGCCTGCGAGTGTGCGCACGTGAAAGAGGGAGCGGTGAATAGGCGGAAAAAGGGGAAGGGGGAAAGAAAAACCGGGGGAAGAGAGCGGAAAGGTTGAGCAACAAGGTGAAGTTATGTGCGAAAGCAACGCTCAACACGAGTGTTTGCGAGTCTGCATGGGAAAGAGAGGGGCAGGGGGAAGTGGGGGTTAAGCTGGGAGAAGCTAAATCCAGGCCTCGGTAAATTTTCTCTAACTTCTCCAATTGCACCTTGCTTGCTCCGCTGCCTCTCGCCCGCTTCGTACTCGTCACAAGCCCCTTGCCGGTCTGCGTTCAGAAAGCCGGCTCCATGTTCCTCTACCCTAGCTCGCCTGTTATTACTCGATTAAGTCAAACCCTGACCTGCGTGTATGCGAATATCTGCCGTCGCATGTCCGCCGTCTCCCTTTCGCGCTCTCGAAGCATCGCTTCTAGACCCGCCACTCGCCCCGTCATCTCGCAGTTCTCCATCTCAACGGCTGCCAGCTTCCGTTCTAGCGCCTCTTCCTCCAAAGACGATCTCCGCCGTCCGTTTATGCTCCCATCTTCACCGTTCATTTCTCCCCCTTCTTCCCCCACTTCTGGCTCGCACGGGATTGGGTAACCCTCTGTCCCATGCCCGGAGCCGTCATGTGCGGTGGGTGGAACGGAGAAATGCGCGTCGACCCATTGGCCTACTTTCGACGCAGCTCGCGCGCGGTCCTCCGCAAGCGCGCGCTCTTCCGCAAACTGTTCCGCCGAGGTATCCGCGTGGGGTTCGAAATACGCGCGCGAGGGGTGGAAATGCTGCGGGTGGGTGGCTGTAACCGGCGTAATTGCCGCGGGGGGAGGAATCCACGCGCGATACGCGTGTGGCGAGTGCACGACTACGCCTGCAGTGGGCGGCATGACTACAGATTTGACGCACTATCAGACTACACTCTGGATGCGTTTGGCCGGAACGCAGAATTGGCGAGGAATCAGGTGTGCAGTCCTAACTAGGTAGTGCCAGCGGAAGTAGTCGCTGCAATCATTGATGAACAACGTCAAGCTTCTAGGGTTAGCGACTAACGGGATGCCGACTGCTCTCACGCCTCATTCAGGCCAGTTGATAAGTCTAAAAAAATCCTTGGTGTCTGCCTGTTGCCCCTCAAAATCATCCTTGGTTATGCGGCTGAGGACATGTGAAGGGGAAGGCAAGCACAAGTCAAAACCGCCCCTGGAAAAAAAATGTCAAGACTCGAATCACCAATGTGCCCCATGTGCATCTCTGTGGGATGCTTGCGCCAAGCCGCCTTTTTGGGGTGATGGACCAGGGCAGCTCAGTTGGCACATAGAACTCTACCCGTGTTCGTCGGTACGATGTGCGGCTGAGATTACACATGACGAGGTACGAGCCCCACGTTCTTTCAACACGCATGATTGGGGTCGCACGAAACCTCCGTCACCAAAATGGAACTAGTTTCGCTATTGATAGGTTTCGCGGTTTGGAGTTACAAGTATTTTTCCAATGACAGAAATCCTGCTCTAAATCCATAAATGCGATGATAAAAAAGGTGATGGTGTTTCAGAGTCGAATCCAATATCTACTCTGGGTGGAATATTAGGAGATGTTATTTGCAAACCGAATCAAAACAAGACAGTGTCACAACAAAAGAAGCCATATCTAAGCACGGTGCTCATTATGGGAACAGGGGAGGGGGCTAAACATCTAAGCACGACCAACTCTCTGAGGTGGACAAGAGCCCTTGTTAGCACCTGTGACGGGATGGCAGCAGATCCTCTTGTCATGTCACTGCTCATGGCGTCTATTTCAAGCACAGCAGAGAAATGGCGCCTGAGTAACAATTCAGCATTTAGCACAAAAGCTGCAATTCACTGAGCAACTGGCATTTCCAGATGTCGGATCAGCTCCTTGGGCATGTTTCGTGCCGGAATGTTCTCCCTGTAGCCCGCTTGAAACACCGCAGGCGATCTGTAGCCCTGTGACGCCATGTTGATCGGGTTACCATGCAGGTCGATCGCCGCATGAGGGTTCCCGCCCGTCCACACTTTGACGCTCATCTTCCTCTCCGTTTCAAACAGCGACGCAATCATTTTCTTCATAGAGCGCACCGCGCCTACCTTCCTCGTACCTGCTCCTCCTCCGCCGCTACCGCCGCCACCGCCGCTTCCGCTGCTGCTGCTACGCGAGCTGATTCCCTGATTGCTCCTGCTGCTGCTAGCGATGCCTGTGATGTTCCCTTGGCATAACGCCGCGACCTCTGCTTCATTGCAATCCACAGCACCTACACCAACTGCAAGGCCGCCAGCTCGAGATTGGTTACCCTGTCGCGGAACTCTGTTCGTCGCTGTCTGTGCGCGAAATTCCTGCGAAAACGACCTGGCTTTCGCCAAGCTAGCAGGAAGTGGGGAAGTAGCCGCCGTGGTGAACGACGCAGGCTGCATATCTGCGACTGAATGCACTCGCGACGGCATGCGACTGCTGTAGTTGCTGCTATCGCCGTCGCACACGCTCAGAGCTGCTGAAGGCATTCGTCGCAGGGTCGTCGGATCCCTGTCGTTGCCGCAATCTGCGACGAAATAGCTGTTGCTGTCGTTACTCTGGAGCGAGACGTTGGACGGCTGTGATTGTAACCGGCGGTTGCTTGAAACGGGCTGGATGAGTTGGCCGACGGATGGGAGGTGTTCGTGTATCGCGAGGTGATTGAGAGCGGGGACGGAAACGGAGTGCTTCATACAGGCGGTTCGATTATTGCCGCCGCTCACTGTAGCGGGGATGGATGGCAGCGACTGATTTGACACGTAGCACACCTGATTCGGGTTAAGATCAATGCTTGTTCCATCTGAAGCGAGACTGTCGAGGGCAGGTACCGAAGCGGAGTGTTTCATCCCACCACGAAACCGCGACGTCCTTATAACGGGTACACCCGCAATCGAAACTTGCGAGGACTTGCGGCTGAACTTCGAAACCACCGGGGATAAAAGCCCAGAGGAATCATCGCGGCGCGGAGTCGAGGCGTTGGAGGAGGCGGAAACAGTAGGCGCATTGTGAAACTGCTCGGAGGTTTCGTCCACCTCCGGGATGGAAGATACGGAGATTAAGGCGGACGGCATGCCGTGAGTGAGGCAAATCTCTTCTATAGCGACTCCCGCCTGATCGAGAAGCTCGCACGAAGCTTCAAGCTCTGAAGATTGCGAGAGGCAGGAATGAAGAATGCAAGGGAAAGCGGGGGGGTGAGCAGCCACACGAGTCGGGGGGATTCGAAAAAGAGCAATAAGCAGGCGACAATGAAATAACATTCAGCTTACCAGTCCATTGGTTCTCGTGCGCGTGAGCGAGCGACTCTACGTACGCCGACACGTTGTCTTCGTACGAGTAACATATTTCGCCTTCGTCATCTTCTTCAAAGATAAGGGGATCGAACCCCCCCGGCGTCGCACATTGCTCTACGGCGGAGTCCGCGCTCCTGGGTGCAGGGCACCAGCTGGTGTAGCGCGTTGAGTGGAACTGGTTTTCTGCCATTGAAAGTTAATCGGTTGACGGAGGATGAAGGTGGTTGACAACGGTTGACGGAGTGGGCGCAGACGAGGGCTGCTCTCTGAAACGAATGCCTTGGCAACGATTTCGTATTCTCCTGAGGCAAAAGCCGTCACGCGGATTCGATAGAAAATATGCGTTTCTTGTGAGCGCCGTGCTGACACGCAGCTGAAATTGAGGAGGGAGAGACGAAGCGTGGTCGAGACGAATGAGAGGGAAGAAGCGTCGCGGCTTGCATGAGTCGGTTGCTCTCGAGTTCGCGTCGAATAGCTACGACAATGTGCAACTCATTGGCAGCTAAGCTCAACGTCACGTTGTGCGATAAGATCGTTTGCGATCAAGCTTCTGCCCTTGATTTATAGTGTCCATTGGCAAATGCTGCTCTGCCTAGATGGTCGCTAGAGTCTAGACTCTTGACTCCAACCCAGGCCAGGGAGGGCAAGGCTAAAACGTATTCCATTTTACACCTCACCCAAAGCTGGCCTCTCGCTGATCCGAGCTGGACAGGCATATGGCGGTACACTGTACAGGTGGCTGTGGTTCGGTCGGGACTCGGGGGACAGGACAGGACGGGATGAACCGCAAGAGAGGAAGGGGCGATGAGCCATAGGAGAAGTTCACCGAAGCGCGGTGCATTGCATTTCGTTTGAAGTTATTTCTGGCCAGGCAATGCAAGGGAAGGGGGCTCGATCGAGAGTGTGGGGGATGGAGAGAATGGAGGGAGAGGGGCAGATCATAAAAACAAGGGCATTTATTTTAGCGGTAACACTCATGGAGCTCGATCGTACGCGAGGTGGGCCACGCATCCGAATTGTAACAGAGATGTCTTCTCATCACCACCATGGTAACAATCATGCCCAGATGGTCAAATTATTGCCTCCATGATAATTAACAGTGCATCCGGAAATCGTAGCTGGTAACTTTTCGTTACAGCCAAACTGTACACCGCACAAGTCAGGTTTGACTCAGCAAAAAGGAAACCGACTGTCCACGTATACACCCACAGAATGCGCATTCTGTTTAGTGAACGAACGCGTACAAACGCAAAACGTTACATGCATGTATTCGAAATAATAAATAACCTCTATAATAGCACACATCTTACGGACACTCCGAAATAAAAAACAAATGTAGCCTGACCAATTAAAAATGAGATCTTTTATCTGCTCATACAATTTATATGATGCCTTGACAAATATATTCTTTAACTAGGTCTAGCTCGAATTTATAATATTCCCAAAACAAATTTTATAGGGTAGAATTATTTGTTGCAAAATTTATCACTAGGATTGCTTTGCCGTTTGACATTGTGTGTGTGTTTTTTTGAGGTGTTTGTTTGATAGTTAATGTGTTTTGTTTGTTTGTTTGTTTTTTAATACAGATTACGAGTTACCACATCGTGATTCTACTTTGCAGATTGTAAACCTCGCCACTATAAACAGAAATGCGCATTCCGTGGGGTACACGTGGACAGTCAGTATCGTTTCGCTGAGTCAAACCTGACTTGTACGGTGTACAGTTTGGTTGGAACGCGAGGTTACCAGCCAGGATTTCCGGATGCACTGTTTATTACCATGAAGGCGATAATGCTGACCATCTGGGCATAATGGTTACCATGGTGGCGATGAGAAGACATATCTGTTATGATTTGGACACGTGGCTCACCTCGCGTGCGATCGAGCTCCATGAGTGTTACCGCTAAGATAAATGCCCTGAAAACAAATTGGTGTTCTGGCCATGAAAACATGGAAGGAAAAATATCGCTTTGGTGAAGGAGTATATATTCTCGTGAAATTTCTGTGGTCCAGTTTCATTAAAACATCTGTGGCCCTAACTGCCATGAAAATATGGAAGGAAAAATATCGCTTTGGTGAAGGAGTACATATTCTCGTGAAAATTCTGTGGTCCAGTTTCATTAGCGATGTGCGGTGCGGACTGTACAAAGCGAAGGTGGGGGAGAAACTGCAGGACTTGGGCACACTCATTCTTTTTTTGGCTTTGTTTTTTTAATATGCATTGTAATACTGTACCAAGCGAAACAGAACGCGAGCCTGCAAGCCTTCGGATTTGAGTTCGGATGCCATCATATTTTCTCAGGGACGGGCAGGAGCAGGGATGTTTGCATCTACACTGCAGAAACATTCCAGGAACCGCTTGCCATGTCAGCCTGTCGGCCTTCAGCTTGCATCACAGGCGAGGGGGGAAGAAGCAGCAGCAGCAGCAGCACAAGCAGCCAGCAAGTGGATTTGTCGATGGACTCGTCTGACCAAACTCAGCAAAATCAACTGTCGTACACGTTACGGCTGACGCAAGGGTCATTCCGAATTTGGACTGGTCCAAGGGCCAAATGGGCAATGCAGGGACTCCATAAAAAGGTGTCAAAGTACTGCACCAGCTCGACGTCGAGGAACGTCGGTGAATTTTGACCGTCGGATACGAAATTCCAACCGTCAAGATTCACCAGCTTCTCTCGACGTCGAGTTTTTGCAGCACTTTGTACACGCCTTAAGACAGCCAGTTCACTAGAGTCTCGGGACAACTGTCTACTTCACGAACGACAATCTTGCGGATCCCGAGATATCCACGGTGAATAGGTGACAAGATCGAGAATGAAGTTCTGTATAAGGTTAGTGCAAGCATTATACAAGAAGTGAAGTGATGCTTACGAACGGTATAAACGAGACTTGGAATAGATGGGACCCGTGCTACATTTCCATAATACTGTGAACCAAGGGGAAACCATAGGATTGTGCGCCTAGAATGGCAAGGGTTCATAAGTACTGAACTTGAAAAGGGTTGCACGAAGGTTGGCGAGAGAAAAAATCGCCTGGGAGGTGGCGAAGGCAGCATCAGGGCTGACGATATCAGGGTAATTACCCTGATTTCAGGGTGATTACAGGCTTCTAACTTGGTGGTCCCTGCAAACACAGGTTTTGTATTTTGTGAACTCTGATCCAATCATAGAAGCTACTTAACGGACTCTGAATTCTTGTAACTAGGCTCAGAGTAGTGTACTTGCGGACTCTGTCTATGCAGGGTATGCGTTCCGTGGACCCTGAATGCGAGGGTATTGGGACGAAGTTTCCTAGAAGCTTCGTTTTGATAACCCCCTTGTGCGTAATCATTTCTTCGAGTGGCCCCATGTGAGATACCCCCTTCACGCGCCCGTGAGTGACGTAATACCGACAAAGGAAAACACTCACGTGCTGTACATCACAGCTGGCAACAGCGCCAACGCAGCCAAATCAATTATACGGTGCTGCCACGCGCACCGCACAGTGCACAGCATGTGTCTGCCATTGGCCAGAATGGCCTGTTGACAGCATGCGGTGGCAGCCAAGGAGTCCGTGAATGAATTCGGCCTTGAATGCAACGACGAAGTCATCGTCGAATGTTGCCATCAAGTCCGTGGAATCGCGGCGCGGTGGTTTCGTGCTCCCGCCATCTCCAACCTCCCCTTCCCTCCCCATACCAACAGCCAACGTTCCTTTGTTCACTGGTGTGTTCTTTCCATTACGTGCATTCATTGTCTCATTTTCCTCTCGTTCAGTTTAGCCACCAATGGAGGCCATGCCGGTCGACGAAGCTGCTCCGAGCACTGGCCCCGACGAGCCGCCTGTAACAGCGAAACCAACAGCGTCGTCCCAGCCGGAGAAAGCTTCGGATGCTCCCCGCTCTGGGCTAGATTTTCTTAGACCTACGGCTGCTCCCGTCACACCTGAACCGCCTAGGTCTACCGTTCACGACTCTACCCCTATAGTAACCCCTACTCCTACTGCTTCTCCTATTCCCGTCCCGTTCACTCTCCCCCCCGGCTGTTGCTGGCTGCAGCAAAGATCCTCCACCGCCCTCGCCCAGTCTTACTCCAAGCACGGTGCGGGTGTCCCTTGGCCCGCCGTCGGCTACTTCCGCTCCCAAGCGTGCGCGATCTGGTAAGTGGGCGCAGAGTACTCTACTGGTGGGAGGCCGCTGTATTCCACCGCCGGAAAAGCCCGATGAGCTTGCACAGAAAGAAGCTGAGCTGCCGGAATAAGGTGACATCCCGGTGCGCGCGGATACCGGCTCGCCGGCACTCACTAAGACGCAGCTGCGAGAGCAGATGTACTTGAAGGCGAGTATTAATTACGAGACGAAGTGGGCGGGATACTTTTCTTGGCTTGTGTTTGGGAAAACCAAGGACGGTTTCCCGTACGTGAAGTGCAGCATCTGCATGTCATATGGTAAGGGGAACACGAGGTACGCCATGCAGGGAGACGACGGAGGCCGTGACTTGCAGACGCAGTCGTTCCGGGCGCACGAGCATACGGACGCACACATGGCGCCGGTGGACCGCCAGATGAAGATTGCGGCGGGAATCCGCGAGGGGTAGCAGGTGATTTCGGACTTCATCAACTCCGACGTCGAGGGCCGCCGCGCGATACGGCTGACGCGGTCGACTCAGTTCCTGTGCCAGTGCGACGCGCCGATTAGCATGTTTCCTAAGCTAATGCGGCATCTTGCGGAGCAGGACACGCCAGACATTCCCCGGCAGTCGTACGGTGTTTATCTCACGCGGTAAGTGACGGTTCAAATTGATTGCAAATTTAAACATGCACGTCAAACAACTTGCTTGACTATCGTGTACTGATAATTTCTCTGTCCTTTGTTGCAGCTATGGCTTCCAGCAGATGGTCCACAGCATGAGCACTTACCTCACCCGGGTGCAGATGGACCACGTCCTGGCATCACCGTTCCTGGGCATCCAGTGCGACGAGAGCACTGACCGCACGCGAGGGAAACACATGATTGTGTACCTTGCATTTATGAAGAACCGCCAAGTTGCGTGCAAGTTTTTCACTTTGCTGGCGGTCGAGCGGTGTGATGCAGGGTCCTTGTTTGAGGTGCTTCTGAACCATCTTCGCTCCGCTGCCGTCGATGTGTCGAAGGTCATCGGCATCAGCACGGACGAGGCATCGGTCATGACCGGGAGAGAGAACGGATTGGTGGCGCGTCTTCGTGAATACGTCCCTCATCTGTTCTCATGCCACTGCATCGCCCATCGGTATGTGAGTTGGTCTGTATTGTAGCATGTTATCTACGCTGATTGGTTTACTAACAAACCATAATACTTGTTCCCTGCTTTACACAGTGAGGCGTTGGCTGTGAAGGACGCCGCTGACTCAAACCCGGATCTCGACATGGTCGACAAGGTGGTGGGCACTGTGGCGACTGTGAAAAATTGAGGAATGAAGAAGAGAGGGTTCACTAGCAAACATTGGGATACATATCGCAAACCCTAAAAGGGTTGTACTCACTATAGAGTACCCCACTGCAGACTAGAGAAACATAATATTCTGACACACCCCCATAGTCAAAGTGGGGTGTAATCAGCACAACAAGCAAAGCAGAACAAGCTCAGGGTGGAACACAATGTCACCACACATTCTGAGCACAAGTACAAGAAGCAACAGTTTAAAGTTTACAAATGTAAGTAAAGCTAGAGGCTATCGCAGAGGGCAAGTGTGGAGGATGAGGGACTATGAGAGGAGAGGAGGTAGTGGGCGGCAGCTGAAGCTGCTGGCACACGGCGCAACTGGAGCAACTGGCACACGGGCAACTGGAGCAACTGGCACACTGGCAACTGGAGCAACTGGCACACGGGCTACTGGAGTAGCTGGCTCCGCGGCTAACTCTGAGCGGCAGGAGCAACGGACTCACGGGCGACTAGAGCAACGGGCTCACAGGCGACTGGCGCAACGGGCTCACGGGCGACTGGCGCAACGGTCTCACGGGCGACTGGAGCTGCGCGCTTCACGTCGGCCACCCCCTTCAACCTCCCCAAACTATCCCACCCCATTTCACACACCCCCTACTACACCCCTAGGTTCACTCACACCCCACCCCCTAGCACCACTCCGTCGACTCCCACACACCCACCCCCCTCAGCGGCAGCTGCAGCAGTGGGAGACAGAGGAGGAGGAGGAGCAGGGGAGACCACACACCCGCCACCCCCTACTCGCCACCCCCAGACCCTAACACAGGGCAAGGCGGGACGGCGGGTAGGGAGGTTACGGGGGGGGGGGGGGGACGACGCGCGGCCTCCCAGGGCGCCAAAACAGGCGGCAGAAGGGGCGGCGCTCGCCCCCCTCCCCCAGATCGCGGCCCCCTCAGGTCGCCTCGACAGGCGACGGGAAAAGGGGGGGGGGGGGGGGGGGGCGGTGCACGTGCCCCCGGTGCGCTAAGACTGGCGACGAAGCATGGCCGGGGCGGGGCCGGGGCAGGGTCGAGGAAGGGCCGAAAGGGGCGGCGACGGGGCCGCAAGTGGCGGTGACGGGGCCGCTGGAGGCGGCAACGGGGCCGATAGGGGCGGCGACGGGGCCGCTAGGGTCGGCGACGGGGCCGCTAGGGTCGGCGACGGGGCCGCTGGCGGCGGCGACGGGGCCGATAGGGGCGGCGACGGGGCCGCTAGGGTCGGCGATGGGGCTGCTGGCGGCGGCGACGGGGCCGATAGGGGCGGCGACGGGGCCGCGAAGGGGCCGCGAGGGGCCTGAGAGGTCGGTGACGGGGCCGCTGGCGGCGGCGACGGGGCCGATAGGGGCGGCGACGGGGCCGCGAAGGGGCCGCGAGGGGCCTGGAAGGGCGGTGACGGGCTGCGAAGGGGCTGCGAGGGGCCCGAAAGGGGCGGCAACGGGGCCGCGAAGGGGCCGCGAGGGGCCGAGAAGGGCGGCGACGGGGCCGCGAGGGGTGGCGACGGGGCCACTAAGGGTCGTGCGAGGGGCACGCCACGGGGCGTGTAGTACACAGAGTAGCACCGGAAGCAGTTAGGTGGGCCCACAGGCCATGAGCGTAGATGCTCTGATAGCATCTGTTCTCATGTCACTGCATCGCCCATCGGTATGTGAGTTGGTCTGTATTGTAGCATGTTATCTACGTTGATTGGTTTACTAACAAACCATATTACTTGTTCCCTGCTTTACACAGTGAGGCGTTGGCTGTGAAGGACGCCGCTGACTCAAACCCGGATCTCGACATGGTCGACAAGGTGGTGCGCACTGTGGGGACTCTGCTCGGAAACTCCAGCGTGTGGAGTCAGCGGTTCAAGTACCTGCAGCGTGTGATTTACAAGACCAACCTGGAAGTCCAAGGCATCCACACGGTGCGGTGGCTGTCTCGAGGAGATGCGGTGGCCAGGCTGTGCAAGGTCCTCGGCGCTTGCATCGTGCTGCTCTGGGAGCACAATCACAAGGCGTACGAGATTGTCACCTGCTACAAGTTTCAGTTTTGCTTGTTTTTCTTGGCTGACATCTTGGCGGACATGAACGACCTCAACCGCTGCTTCCAGAGACGAGAGGTGAGGTCGCATGTTTGTATGATGTTGCTACGTGAGGTTCGTAACTGCACTGTTGCTCATCCTTCTCCCTCTTGTCTACCTCTGCTCTGACACAGCTGGACGTGACTGAGATTGCGAAGACGATCGAGTCCATAACGAGTGACCTGATGGAGCGCTACTTGACGCCAGAGAAAGCTTTCGGGGGCGAAGGGAAGAGCTGGCTGGTGAACTTCCTCAAAGTCCACAAGGAGGGTGGAGGCAAGCAGGTCCGGGTGCGCGGCGTGGACGGTGCTGGACGCCAGATCAACCACCTGTACACCATGCATGAGCGGAAGCTGAAGGGGCACAAACACGGAAGCACCTACGCAGACTACGTGAAGCTGTGCCACAAATTCGCCCGTGACTGCGTGGACAACCTCAACAACCGACTGGATGATCTTGGGAAGCTGGGGCCGACGAAGTTGTTCCGGGCGGGGAAGTGGCCGAAGATCAAGGCCCAGCGAGAGAAGAAGTGCAAGGAGTGGCTGAACGGATGCAGCAGGCTGTTCCGCAACAAGCTGCCGGGATTCGACCTCAAAGCAGCAGAGAGGGAGCTTCCAACCTTCTGCGCGATCATGGAGGCACACCATGAGATGGAGAGCTTCACCCAGGGCCTGTCCAACTTCCTTGGGAGCGCAGACTCCAAGAGGTAGCCTATACTTTGCTAACATGGGTTTTACAATCTTGTTGCGCATCGCTAACTGTTTCCGTTGTGTTGTGTGTACGAATGTGCCTGGCAGGAGATGGCCCAACCTCATCCTACTGTGGCAGGCGTTGGCTGTGCTCCCCCTCTCCACCGTGGAGTGCGAGAGGGGGTTCTCCAGGCAGAACGTCATCAAGTTCTGGGTGCGAGGAGCGCTGTGCAACGCGCGTCTGGGGGAGCTGATGCAGATATCGCTCCTCAAGTATGAGATCGACTGGCCGGAGGCACTGGAGGTGTGGAGGTCCCTGCGGAGGAGGCGCCCTGTGAAGAGCTTGAAGCTGGCTGTGGCAGAGAGGGAGAGGAGGGGGAAGCAAAAAGAGGGTGAAGATGTGGCTGCTAGAAATGCCGGGGAGAATGAGGATGAGGAGGAGGAGGAGGAGGAGGAGGACGATGAAGTGGAACAGGCCTTCGGCGACGATCAGGAGATCGTGGGGGAGGAGGAAGCGGAGGACAATCCATTCCTGTAGGACGGTGAGGATGTGGAGGAGGTGTACTTCATAGACAAGCCCGTGCACTAGATTAGATAGAGTAGGAAAGTGCATGCAGTTGTATAATTTTGGAAAATAGTGCACTGTTAATAGCAACCCTGTTTTTGAGCTGTGAACCCTGTCCGGTCAGAGTTGGACTTCGTGTGACACTGAGCTATCAGGGTAGCTACCTTTGCGAGAAATGAGCCCTCATAATAGAGGGTCAAAATTTTTACTGGAATCAGGGAGTCCTAAAACGAAACGTCAGCCCAGGGCAGCATGCCCTGAAGTGTATCGCAACTTCAACTTCAACTTCAACTTCAACTTCAACTTCCCGAAACTTGAACAAACAGCTTCGACAAAACCAAACTCAACCACTCTCATGCAGCTCACAACCCGGATCAGGGCCTAAGATTCGTTTGGGGGTACACTGAAATCAAAGTAACATAGGAACCATTAGTAGGGTTCTGGACTTAGGAGCTAGGAAAGTAGTGAGACATTGGAGATGGCCAAAAAGGGGTTGTGCTTCAGAGTTTGGAGTAAATATGCAACAAGCGAAGGGTGCACCACCAATAGTTTCTGACAATAACTACAGTAACTACAGCAAGGAGGATATAATAACTTTGACACATCCCCTTAGCATGCTTGCGGTAGGAACTGGTGCGGTCAGCACCCCCTGAAGGAGTAAACCAGCCGCTGTGAAAGAAGGGAGAGAGGTAAGGAAGGAGGAGGAGGCAAGAGGAGAGGAGAGAAGAGGAGAGGAGGTTGGGGGTGGGCGCGCCAAGACGGAACGGAATGGAAGGCCGCGACGTCCCCGCTTAAGAACCCCCTTTTACAAAGGGGGGGGAGAGGAGTGAGGGAAAAGGAGGGAAGGTGGGGGGCCATGCATGAGTGTACCAACTCCATGCCTGCGATTCCTCTTAATAGCCTTCAGCACTCAACTCAACCAACCCCCTTCAACCTTACTCCCTTCGTACCTTTCTATTTCCGCCACTCCCTCACCCTGCTCCACTTCTCCCCCCCCCCCCCCCCTTTCCACGGCGACAAGCCCTGTAGGAAGAGAGAGGGGAGGGACGGGCAGCTGGCTGGTCACCCCCGCCACCCCCTCACCCTCCCCCCCACGCCAACAGGCGCGGCAGGGAGAGAGACGTGACGTAGCGGCGCGCGGCTGCAGCAGAGGCTGCGTGTGCGTCTGCTGCTGCGCGCGCGGGCGGCTGCTGCGCGTGCGTTCGCGGCTGTTGCTGCGCGCACTGCAGTGCGCACTGCTGCTGCGCACGCGGGTGACTAGTACGCGCGTGGGCGTGTGCGTTGCTGCTCCGCGCGGCTGTGCGTGCTGCCATGCGTGCAGCTACTGCTGTGCGCGCTGCTGCTGTGTGACGGGGCGCGTGTTGGGTTGCTGGCGCGTTTGCCACGGTCAATGGCACGTTTGCCACGGGCAGAACGCAGGACGTAGGCATGACGGAGGTAGGTGGGCCCATTATCGAAAGGTCCGTAGGAACGTATGGCTCTTAATACCATGTCAAAGTAACTTAGGAACCATTAGTAGGGTTTTGGACTTACGAGCTAGAAAAGTAGCGAGAGATTGGAGATGGTCAAAAACGGGTTGCACTTTAGAGTTTGGAGTACATAATGTCAGAATTTATTTGCTGTCTAGCCTGCAGTGGGGTACTCTATAGTGAGTACAGCCCTGCTAGGGTTTGCTATATGTACTCAACTGCCTGCTAGTGAAACTCCTCTTTTGCCTATTCTCTCTTGCCTAGCTTGCTAAACCCTAGTTATGGCTCCTGCATTCTAGCTGCTACTCTGACATGCTATCAGAGCGGTTACGTTCTTGGCCTGTGGGCCCACCTGCTTCCGCTGCCCTACTGCCGTCTGTCAGAATCCCAACCACTAGACCATTGGGATAAAAGGGCTTGTTTCAGTAGCGGGTCAGTGCGCCCATAACCCCCCAGGCGAACGCGCCTGTAACCCTCTCCAGGATCAATCGGGCATCCACAGTGCAGATCTACTGACACCTCCCCACACTGAGAGGCCCAGGACTAAGCACAACGGCAACAGCCTACATGTGCATACACCGGGAATCGAACCCGAGACCGCTCTGATACCATGTCAAAATCCCAACCACTAGACCATTGGGATAAAAGGGCTTGTTTCAGTAGCGGGTTAGTGCACCCATAACCCCCCAGACGAACGCGCCTGTAACCCTCTCCAGGATCAATCGGGCATCCACAGTGCAGATCTACTGACACCGTCATCGCCCGGATATAAGACATATATGTCTTATCTCGTACACTAGAAAAAATGATTGGGTTATCTTGTATTTGGGGAGGTTTTGGGTGTCTTATATGTCTTATATATGGGCAAAGAACCGTTTAGAAGATACCCCTTCATTATACAATTGCCCCTAACCCCTATACTGGCTTAACTCGGGACAAAAATAGGTGTCTTATAATGAGGCTAGTCTGTTTAGAAGAGACACCCGGATAATTGACTTCCCCTGTCTACTATTCAACATTGTCTACTATCCGGGCGATGACGGTGTGTTTCGCGCGCCCCGTGGCGCGCGATGTTTGATTTTTTCTTCGCGCGTGGCGGTTTTCAGCCCGCCGTGCGCCCCGAGGCACGCGGCGGTCGAGGCGCCCCGGGGGCCCGCGTGTCGCCCTCCCTCTCCCGTCGCCCGTCGAGGCGCCCCGGGGGCCCGCGTGTCGCCCTCCCTCTCCCGTCGCTCGTCGAGGCGCCCCGGGGGCCCGCGCGTCGCCCCCCCCACCCCCTCCTGTCGCCCGTCGTGGCGCCCCGGGGGCCCGCCCGTCGCCCCCTACCATCGCCCGTTGAGGCGCCCCAGGGACCAGCGCGCCGCCCCGCTTCCGCTCACCCGCCGCCCCATCTCCTGCTCGCGTTTGTGCCTTGCGCCACCTGCGTTTGGGGTGTGTGGGTGGCGGGTATGGGGGTGGCGAGTGTTGTCAGAACATATAGCTTACTTATTTCTGTAGGCTATAGTGGGGTATCCCATAGGGGGTACAACCCAATTAGGGTTTCCTATTTGTACCCACTTCTTTTTCATAGTCATTCACTTCTCGTTCGTACTTTCTCATGGAATCAGAGCAGGTCCCTTCCTAGGGCCTGTTCCTAGGGCCCACCGAAGCGCGCCCCGAGGCGCGCATTTTTTTTAGCGACCCTCCGAGTCGCCCCTCCCGTCGTGCTCCCGCTTAGGCCCCTCGTCGGCCCCCCGCTTAGGCCCCTCGTCGGCCCCCCGCTTAGGCCCCTCGTCGGCCCCGCTTAGGCCCCTCGTCGGCCCCGCTTAGGCCCCTCGTCGGCCCCTGCTTAGGCCCCTCGTCGGCCCCGCGTACCCCTCGTCGGCCCCGCGTAGGCCCCGCGTACCCCTCGTCGGCCCCGCGTACCCCTCGTCGGCCCCGCGTAGGCCCCGCGTACCCCTCGTCGGCCCCACGTAGGCCCCGCGTAGGCCCCGCGTACCCCTCGTCGGCCCCGCGTAGGCCCCGCGTACCCCTCGTCGGCCCCGCGTACCCCTCGTCGACCCCGCGTACACCTCGTCGGCCCCGCGTACACCTCGTCGGCCCCGCGTACACCTCGTCGGCCCCGCGTACCCCTCGTCGACCCCGCGTACACCTCGTCGACCCCGCGTACACCTCGTCGGCCCCGCGTACACCTCGTCGGCCCCGCGTACACCTCGTCGGCCCCGCGTACACCTCGTCGGCCCCGCGTACACCTCGTCGGCCCCGCGTAGGCCCCGCCCAGGCCCCGTCTCGGCCCCGTGTCGGCCCCGCGTAGGCTCCGTCGGCCCCGCTTAGGCCCCTCTTCGGCCCCGCGTCGGCCCCACCTACGCCCTGTCGGCCCCGCGCTGGCCCCGCTTAGGCCCGCCACCGGCCCCTGCTACAGCCCGCCGCGTCGGCCCCGCCTACAGCCCGCCGGCCCGCCTAGGCCCCACTTCGGCCCCTCGTCGGCCCCACTACAGCCCGCACCGGCCCCTGCTATAGCCCGCCACCGGCCCTGCTACAGCCGCCACCGGCCCCTACTACAGCCCGCCGCCGGCCCTGCTACAGCCCGCCGCCGGCCCTGCTACAGCCCGCCACCGGCCCTGCTACAGCCGCCACCGGCCCCTGCTACAGCCCGCCACCGGCCCTGCTACAGCCCGCCACCGGCCCTGCTACAGCCGCCGCCGGCCCTGCTGCAGCCCGCCACCGGCCCTGCTACAGCCCGCCACCGGCCCTGCTACAGCCCACCACCGGCCCTACTGCAGCCCGCCGTACTGCACGTGAGCAGCCCCAGCAGCCCGCGCCGCCCGTCAGCCCCTACGCCACCCGAGCCGCGCGAGCCGCCCGAGCCGCCCGAGCCGCCCGAGCCGCCTGAGCCACGCGAGCCACCTGAGGAGCCGTGCTGCTGTCCCTGAGCTGTGTTCCTCTGCTGCTGACCTACCCGACTCTTCCAGCCCGGTGAGACTTTCAGCTGCTGCCATGGCCACCCCCAATGTTCTTACTTTTGACGCTGAGGGGAGGGCCATTGACTTTGCCGTCTGGATTGAAGACGTGCAGCTGTACTTACTGTGTGATGCGATAGATGAGGTCTCTCTCTTTGACTTTGTCTCTGGAGCTGTCCCTGCCCCGCCTGCTGATGCTGACTCTGCCGTTCGCTCCAAGTGGGCGACCCGCGATGCTGCTGCACGTCTTGCTGTGCGTCGCCACCTCCCTTCCTCTGAGCGTGCCCACTTTAGTCAGTGCAAGACCGCTCAGGCCTTGTACGACGCTGTAGTTGCACGCTACTCCTCTCCTTCCTCCGCTACCCTTAGCCGCCTCATGCTACCGTTTCTCTTCCCTGACCTCGCTTCCTTTCCCACTGTCGCTGACCTCGTTACCCACCTCCGCACTAGTGACGCTCGCTACCGCGCTGCCCTTCCTGCTGAGTTCCGCGCCGCAAACCCTCCTCCCATGTATATCACTCTCTACTTTCTCGTCACCCGTCTTCCTGAGTCCCTTCGTGTCGTTAGGGACCAGTTTCTCGCTGTCTGTCCCACCACCCTCACTGTCGACCTCCTTGAGGAGTCCCTGCTAGCGGCTGAGAAGAGTATAGTCGCTGTAGGGGCCTCTAGGGGTGACCCTCGCACCCCCATCTTTGAGGGGTGTTCTCCTTCCCCCCTGCTGCCCTCTGTCGCCTCTGCTGCTACGGCCGACCTCGCTGGTTTTGAGTCGGTCGGTGCGGCGTCTGCCCCCAGCGGCAGACGCCGCTCTGGCAAGGGCAAGGGGGGGCAAGGGAGCGGGTGGATCTAGAGGAGGCAGTGGCGGAGGAGGTGGGGGTGGCGGGGGGAGTGGGGGTGGCGGTGGAGGTGGTGGCGGGAGTGGGGGTACCGGTGGAGGAGGTGGAGGCGGAGGTGGCGGCGGAGGCGGCAGCGGAGGAGGCGGGGGCGAGGGTACCGGTGGGGGCGGTGGCGGTGGAGACGGGGGTGGCGGTGGAGGTGGGAGTGGCGGTGGAGGCGGGAGTGGCGGAGGCGGCGGGGGTCGGAGTGGCTCGTCCCAGCGGAGCAGCTCTGGGGGTGGTCAGCGCCAGCAGCAGCAGCAGCAGCAGCAGCAGCGGTCTCGCACCGTCCCCGCCCCTCAGCAGCTCCGTGAGTGGTACTTGCAGCGTCAGCGTGGTGGTGCGTTTGGTCCCTGCCCCTACGTTCTTCGCTCCGGCGACCGTGCGGGGAAGAGGTGTGGAGGCACCCACACAGCGCGCCGCTGCTTTGGCCGCCTGACCGACGCCTGGCGTCAGCAGTTTCCGGAGGCCGCTGAGATCCCCCGCTGGGGGGAACTGTCTAGGGCTGGTGTAGCCATTTATGATCTTGACTTTGATGCTATTCTCTCTGCTATGTATGCTGTGACTGGTAGTGATGAGGATGACTGTTACCGGTGTTTCCCGCCCGACCCGGGCATTGGTACTGCCGCGTCAGGTACTAGTGAGGCTGCTGCTCTAGGTGCCAGTGCGTCTGTGCTCTCAGGTGCTGGTGAGTCTGCCCTCTCAGGTACTGTGTCGGCTTCGGCCTCTCACACCTTCACCCTTGACTCTGGAGCGTCTCGCTCCTTCTTTCGGGACCGCACCACTCTCACGCCACTGAGTCGGCCGGTTGCGGTGTCCCTGGCTGACCCCTCTGGGGGGCCTGTCCTGTCTCGCTTCTCCACTGTCCTCCCGTGTCCGGCGGCCCCCTCTGGCACCCTGACTGGTCTCTACCTCCCCTCGTTCTCGACGAACTTGGTGAGTGGTGCTGACCTCCAGGATGCGGGTGTCCACCAGTTCACCCCTGCTCGTCAGCGGGTGACTCACTGCACTGAGGCGGATACAGGTCGCCACCTGGCTACGTTCACACGTCGGCCAGGGTCGAGCCTGTACACACTGACCACTGCTTCTCCTCCAGGTACTACGTCTGGTAGGGTCCCTTCGTCTGGTCAGGTGTTTGCTGCAGCGTCCAGGT